CCCTGTCCCGAATCTTGCATGAGGCTAAGCCCTGCCTCCACATCTGCATGAGGCTAAGCCCTGCCTCCATTTTGTAAAAGGCTAAGCTCTACCTTCCATTTTTCATGGGACTAAGTCGTGTCCCGAATCTTGCATTAGGCTAAGCTCTGCCTCTTATTTGCACAAGGCCAATCATCGCCTTTATTTACCAAGACTTAGCACTATCTCTCCGGCACTATCTATTTGCTCCTCTTTTGTGCTGAGCTCTGCTCTCAACCTCACTAGACTAAGCCTTGTTTTGTTGATTCTAGCATCAGACTATTGCATCTCATGGGCTGAAATATCGCCGACTTGTCCAAAAGCGTCATTGTCTAAAGGCATCATCCTCATAGCCAGAAGACACTATGCCACGGCCTGAGGATCTCTCAAATTTGCATATCATTATTCAAAGAGTCATGGTTCGGAGGCACCATTTTCATGGCCCGAGAACATCATTTCATGGCCTGCGAATCTCCTATCTCACAATTCATGGCCCAGGATATCATAGTCTAAGGACGTCATCCGCACCATCCAAAGACAATCTCTCATGGTCCAAAGGGAATTTGCATCACGTCTAAATTCTCGCAGTAATATACGCACTTGCATGCACCATATTTTGAGTTTTGCAGGTAATCCAGGAGGTAACCGTTTCTTTTAATAGGAGCAGCCTTTGCTCCGATTTTCGTTCGCGCCGTTTTTCACTTTTCCATTCATAACCGATTCTCATCAGTTACACATCCCACTCCGTGATATCTAGCTATCTGCCCTATAATACATCTGTTACATTTCAGATTCGCAACTATAACTCTATCCGATCTCACCTTTCACAAAAAAAGACCCTTTGATGAAATTGGCTACCATTCCTATAACAAATCCATTAGCTTCATTCGTCGGTGGATCCAGGATTACACATGGCCTGATTCCTATAAAACCAGGGATATGTAGGCAGCTCAAATACCAGGGTTCAGCCTATATTTTCCAAAATGCCCATTCGGTCAAAATTGGCCATCATTTCGTTACCCGAAAACTCTTTCATCCTTTTCGGGTAAAGAGGGGCAGCTGTTGATACCCAATTTTTCCCTATAATACTTTTTAAATTGCATATATACCTTCAAAACTATGAATTAGCATCAATTGATATTTTTCCATAATTTCTATATTTTAGATTAATTTATCCTAATATTTTATTTATATAAATAATTACAAAATTGCATCACAAATGACTTTATAACATTTCACTCTTTAATTGCATTGGTTATGGAACCCTATTACTGAGTAACATTGAGATCGTTGTTGTGCAAAGAAGATAAAACATGTGCACAAGTTTGCAGGTGTGCTAAATGTTTGGTAATTGGGAGGTTATGGATATGAGACAGTCCGATTTGAGATGGCTGGGAATTGTGCACCAGAAATAATATGATTTATTGAGCCGACATCGCCGTTTCCTTGTTTGAGTACATTGTTTTTTTACTTGTCTGTTTGTTCCGGCCTATGTGAGTGTTAATTTATTTAGTTATCTTTCGTTTCCAATCGTGTTTCCCTTTTAATTGTTTCTATTGATTGTAGTTTGTCTTTCCGTACTGTGGATATTCTTTGTCATTCGTTAGGTTGATAGTTATTATTCATATCCTATTCATTTATTTGACCTGTAGGTTGTCTGGACTGTTCCTTCGTTCACTACCCCACTGAGGTTAGTTCTTGATACTTACTTGGGCACCGCATCTGTGGTGTGCTCATATTACCACTTCTGTATATTTTTGTGCTTAAAGATCCATGTATGGGTTGATCGTAGTAAAGCTGTAGCGGTCGTGTTGGTGGAGATCAGGAAAAACCTTGCTTACAGCATTCGCATGCCTCTGAGTCAACTCCATTTGTTCTTTATTTCCAATTTTGTTCCTTTTATTTCGGAAAAGTAATTGTATTTATTTGTTATAAACTACTCTTTAGAAAGCTTGTGACTTGTACCGCCGTGTTCGGAATGTAATTTGTCATTATAAATTAATTAAATTTAGTAAAACATCAATGTTATTTCAGTTTAATTTTAGGCTTACTAGTTTAGAGATTAAGGTGCCCATCACGACTCCTTCGGGGATTTTGGGTCATGACAGTTGTTTAGGTTTATTATGGTAAGGGATAATGGACCGGGTGATAAGAAATTGATCAACGGTCAGGGATTGGACGGGGGGGTTATTGGGTCGCTCATATCAGACTTTGGGCTCTAGGGAGATTGGGCCAAAATTAAAAGGGTTTTTGGCGTTGGCCTCTTTTTGGTTAAATCTGAAAATTAAGGGCTTATTTATTTTAATTACCCAATTAATTAATAAAAATTTATTTATAAAATATAATAAATTATGAAGGACCAATTCTCATTGCATAGGGAAAAATTGTTTCCAAAACAATTTATGTTCGTATATTTTTAAAAATTATAATGGACCAATTTCTGGTTAAAACAATGCAGTAATGTTTATGTATGGGCTATTAATTGTAAAGTATTGCAATTGTAACCAAAGGTGTAAAAGCCATTATGAAAAATAATTTGAACTTAAATACGACCATTAAAATAGTAATATTAAATCAT